TTGCACAATTGTGGCATAAATTTACTGATTATATAATATTTTACAACAATCACAACTTACTGATCAAGAAATTCATCAATATAAAGTTGATGCAGAAAATTGGGTTCAAGCTTTTTGTCATCTGTCTGGAGATTACATTAATTCTTCGCAAAATTTTGAACTTTATTAAAAAGCAGATGTAACTTCGTATATGCATATATTTGCAAAATATATACCTCTATTTATGCAGTAGTTAAAAGCTAAAGGTCTTTCTTTACAGATCTTTTCTACTTCGAGTATTGGAAAAAAAAATCATAATCAGGTAATATGGTATAAGTTTGTGTTTAAAATTATATTTATATAATTTCTAATAAATTTATTATTAGATTCAAATATTTTTTGAAAGTACTACAATGAGAGGTGGAAATAAAGAACAGTTAGTTGTCTATGATATTATGTTCTTTGAAAATCATCAACTCTTTTATTTGATTAATAATATTTCTAAAGAGACTACTATATGGAATATTAGTACAAATAATAAGGAAAACTTATTTATTAAGTAATATAACAAAGTATTAATAATCCAAATAATAAAAATTGGCAAAAGCTAATTTTTTACTTAGCTAGTTAAATTAGTTAGTTAATATTTTTTATATTGATAATAATTTTACATATAAACTTTTTTTATTACAAAAGTTATCATATTTTTGGTTAAATTTTATGAATAATTAGAGTTGCAGCTTGTGGCTTAGCTTAGTTTGAGGTTAATCAGCTCACTAACAGCTTAGCTCTGACCTTTGAAGCTAAAAAATCAGCTCAACTTGGTTAATACAAGCTATGAGCCAAGCTATTTGTATCACTAAGTAGGGTGCTAATAGCATCCTATAATTTTAAGTTCAGGTAAGGCTTAAATTTTAATCAACAATTTGACATAATGATAAATTTTCAGTAAGCCATCATTATAATTAATATAAATAAGAAATCTTTATCTCATTCTAATCTAAAATATGAGATTTTTTCCATAGCAATGAAACTTATTAAAATTTAATTCAAGATAATCAAAAATATATAAACAAAATTATTGGTAAAAAAATATACAGAATATTTGTGATAGATGATAATTTATTATAAGAGAAAAATAAAATAGCTGTGCAACATAATGTACTAAAACCAGGAACTAATCACAAATAAATTATATCCAAAATTTTGAAAATTTAAATTTTTAATAAATTATTATGGGATTTATTTTATAGCGCTATAGCACTGTAGTGCTAGGGCATTTTAACCAATTAAAATTTAAGATCAGGTATAACATGCAGATCAGCTTTGTGTAACAAAAATAAAGAAATTTTTAAAAAAACAATTATATCTCAAAATTTTGTCTAGAAAACTATCTTTTGAGCTTTAACAAAAAAAAATTCCTTGCTAAATTTTACTATAAAAACTACTTAACCCTAACCTTTAACTCTTACCCTTACCCTAATATTAAATAAAGTTAATTTTTGTTTTGTTAAAAGTTGTTTTGATTTACATGTTATACAAGTTTGTTTATTACATATAGGGTAGCATCGGAATGCTATAGCACTATAATAATATTTCCAATTATTATATACTAACTTGATATTAATACTATAAATTTTGAGTACTGTAAAGCCACAAACTATAAATTATATTCTATATTAAAGGTAGAGTGAACGTAAATCATTTATCATATGATATGCGTTGTCAATCTTTTTTGTATAACAGTTTATATAGTAAAAACAACTCTGATTGGATAATTACCTGATTTAGTAATAATTTTACTATTTGATTTTTTGTATAACCCCAGCAAATTTGAAGCCCCCCGGCAACTTTAACTATATAAAGAAGTATATTTTTTTAAAATAATATGACTTATGAAAATTTTACTACTATAAATAGAAGGTTTAATTTGTATATTACTTAATTTTAGTAAAAATTGACAGTAATTTCGAAAACTTTTATTAGTAACGTAATGTAATTTTATCATAAAATCTCATTGTACCACAAAAGTTATATAATAAATGATTGATATATACTCTACTTTTAATCTTTTACTTTGGAATTACCCAAAGCTATAGCATAGAATTTCATATCACGTTAATTTAAAAGTTCCATATAAGCCAATATTCTAGTTAAATTTGAAATCATAAACATCTTATTTATTTGCTCTTTGAAAATATCATTCAATGTTAATTTTTAAATTGTTAGAGAATTAATATATAAATATAAAGTTCTATAAATACATTTATAAGATCTCTATAAACATTATTATCATGTAAAATTAGAAAACTAAGCACTGTTTCTTAGTAATACATAGCTTATCTATCTGACCATTGTAGTTTTGTAAAATTAGCTTCCAGGACTCAAACTTTTATCATTAGCATATTATAAAGTTTATTACTATTTATCTAATTTATATTAAAAAATACCTTCATTAATATGATTATCTAATATCTTTAAAAACTATAAACACTGATCAAAATTGAAAAGTTTAGCATATTGATTAGTAGAATTCAAATAGCCAACTTGCTATTCAACACTATCATATAACTTTATGGACATATACCTGTAGTAGATTTGTTGCTTCTGAGATAATGTAATTCGTTTGAAATATAGCAGGCCTAATAAAATAAATTAAAAAAATATAAAAAAAAAACAATAAATACAGTAGGATTTTTTGCTAACAAAAAATCTCTTAGATCCTATATTCTAATTCTTACTGCTAGAAAAATTCTTTCAAATCTGCTACAAATTTACAAGTGATAGTATCACATTGAAAAATACAATTATTCTCCTTAATCTCTGATTGCGATCAGCTAAAGTTGACTTCATATAAACTCTTATTATCCACAAATAGAACATAGCTGATAGTCTGTAATTTTGGATTCTGCTGAATATTCTAATTGTCATAATTGATTAGCTGTTTCAATCTTTATTCACTAGCCTCATCCTGAAAAAAACAAGAATACTTTCATTTCATAGAACTATAATGGAAAGAAGGTTTACTTTCAAAAAGAAAAACAAAAATATTTTCTGAAAAAGCATAAATAAAAACTTGTTTTGTGCCTATCAAATATCTGTTAAAGCCAAGACATTTTTTAACAAGAATTATAAATATGTCTTGATAAAACATAATTTGTTCAAGGAATAGTTGAATAAGTAACTTGCAATGGGGTATGATTTGTTATTTCGATGCTTTATTTTTTTATAAATTACAAGCTTTTTTCAAGAAGAAAGAATCACCTAACAAAGTTGACATTTACTCGCCATCGAAATTCTTAACATATTAGCTAATTCTTCAGCAGTTGCTCGACTCTGAGATTCTGTGTAAGTAACAAACTTTGTATCTAATTTTAGATTTATAATACATGTCTAGATAATGATTATCATTCTAATAATATAATCGAAAGAAATTGTATGATTAATTAATGATCATGTTTTGATTATCATATGTAACAAAATTAGATTTATATAATATATTGAATGGAACCAAATCCGTTCATATGCGTGATTACAATATATTCGATCAATTACAATATATTCAATAATTATGATTTTATTATACTTATGATTAATAAATTACAACTATTACTTGCTTGTATAAAATTTTGTCTATGAAACATCTCTATGCTCAAATCTTTTTCTAAAGCACTATTTACCCAAACCCTAATCTAAAAACACCCTAACTCTAACCTATCCTAACTCTTACTTTAACTCTAACCTATCCTCATCCTCAACTTAACGAATTAATTTAATAGTTTGATTTCACAGACATCTATGATGATAAAATTCAAGTCATTAATATAATTTCTATACTAAATCATTTTTCAATATAATAATCAAGTGAATGTTATTACCCATTCCATCAGTACATTTAATACATTCAAATCATTTTTTGATATTAGATCTGTTTCAGATGCAGATCACATTTTTAAGTAATACAAATTTTTATTGGGTGTATTCATTGATCAACAAGAAATGCTCAAAAAGGAAAATCAAAAAAAGATTTGGTAATATTAATTGCTAAGCCTTATTGTTAAAATTTTCTTCTGAATTTATTATCTGGTCCAGATTGGTTTGTTAACTAAAGTGCTGATTGGTTTGCCACATGGTGTAGGTCATTATTGCTAAAACAATCTTGTGTTTATGTTCTACTTCATCTATCTGAAAATGGAATGTGTAAATAATGTTAATTTTTTGGAGGGGGTAAGCTGGAATGCCCACTTTTTGTCAAAATTTGTGAAGCAGCAGAAAGGTGAAGTAAAAAAGAAAAACCACTTGTATACAAAATAAAAGAGTGTGAGTTTCTTTTACTAGAATCAAATAAAGCTATACCAGAGTATGCACAGTACTAAGTTTTGTTGGTGAGTGATAAACTCTGAGCTTGTTAGCAGATAACATATAAGAACTATCTCTAAATAACAAGTGCCATGCTTGTCACCACAGTAAGTGATAAACTCTGAAAAAATCAGCAGATAGCATATGAGAACTATCTCTAAATAATAGTTGCTGTCCTAAGGTTCCTTTTTGCATGTCTTATAAGTCTAGTATAGTCATTTGTATTTTTTCATAATAAAAAGTTTTTTGGAAATTTTTGGTAAAAGTGATCGTCAGAAAGAGTTGAGTACTAATAGTAGTTAGAGTTATATTAAGAAAATATTATATTTACTATATTTTTTAGCAAATTTTAAAAAAAACTAAAACTAAATGTTTATATTTTATTATAAATTTTTATTTAATAAAATCTCTATATAATTACAAAATTTTATTTTTAATATAGCAATAATTATATAAAGTACGCTTTATATTAGTCACACCTCTATTTTTGTATTTTCAAAGACGTGATAAACAAATTTATAGCGATTTTCAGACAAATTTGCCTGAAATTGTCTACAGTTTAAGAGATAATATTTTAAAAATTTATATTAATAAAAAAAATTATCAATTTTTTTTTATCTTATTTTGCTTTATTTATATACTAGTTTGTAGACTATAATATTTCAAACAATTTTGCTCAAAAGGTTATTAAAACTGACATTTTTATCAAGAGTAAATTTAAATACAGAAGATATCGAATATTTCAAAAAATGGAACGTTTCTTTACTTAATGGGATTTTTTTATCCAACGCTTGTTCATACATTGTCCACAGCGCAAAAAACTTTTTCTCTTGAACACATTTTTTGAATATTTGCATATAAACATGTTCAATATTAATTGTACCAGTACGCTTCAACAGATTTTTTGCTAATATAATTTCTCCTCTATTTAAGCATGAATTTATTATTACATTTACAATTTCGGGATCCGGTGCTGGATTTATACCTAATAATTTATCATAATATTTTTTGGCTTGATGCAAATTATCATGATAAACAAAAGTCTGTATCAATATAATATAAATTTGTTCTAAAAGAGTTTTTTCCCAAGTTGTCAAATTATTTGATTCCGCCAGTTTATCCGAATTTTGACTATTAGGCATAAAAATATTTGGAGCTGATAAACCTTCTCGTAACATATCAACAAATAATTGCCCGGCTCCCTTTATATCACCGTGTTCAATAAAGCCATTAATTAAGTCCGCGTACGTATGATAGTTTAGATGAAGATTCTTTGATTTCATCTCATTCAAATATTTTTTAGCAAGTAGGATATCACCATCTTTACTCATTATGCACTGTAAAAGTTCACAGTAATCTTCACTGGTAAGTTCAAATCCTAGGCTTTTCATTTCTTCTATTATTCGAATTGCACCTATACTATCTTTGATATTTCCATACAAAACAATCAACATATGATAATCGGAATAAGTTAGCTGAAACTCATGTTCCAATGCAGATTCCAATACAAATATCGCATTGCGTGGATGGACTTTTGAAAAGTACTCTGCAAGTCGTTGAATATCATCAAAAGGTACATCTCTTAATTGACCTTTATTCAATAGTTCTTTAAATATCATCAATACCTGTTTAGGACTATGGCTTTTGACTTTAATGCTGTGATCTGAACTTAAGAAAATCTTTATCAACCTTAATGGTATATTATCATTTAATTTTTTCCATTCATTATATTTTTCGACTTTTCGTTCTGTTCGTGTATAAAGATATTGTGGCGGTGGTGGTTGTCTTTCCCAAATTTTTTTACTAACTTCTTTTAACCTTTTTCGTTCAAGTTCAATAACTTGATCGAGTTTTGAATCATCTTTCCTTTGCATTCTTATTTCTTTCTTTAATTTAGATATCTTATGTACTGATTGTGTTCTTTTTACCAACCTTCTGCGAGTTTTGTACAACTTTGACATTAGTTTTTGAGATACTTTCATTTGGGTTGGTTTAATAACTCTTGGTGCTTCATCGTTTTGAAATGTTGATTTTTCACTGGCAAAAAGTGGATTACTATGATATAAACGATCAATATTTGATAATGTATTCCTCTGTTGAAATAAGAATCCAATAAAATAATTTCTTGTTTTTGTCATGCCACCAAATTTTCGAAGCTCTTTTAATTGACGCGACATTTTATTACGAAGTACTTAAGTTGTTAAAAAAATTTTTTCGAATAAATATCTGATTAGATCTGATCTGATTATGGATGATCAATATTAGGTAATATCGATATGTAGCAGATTAGAAAAATTCCAAATTATATTTACTAGATACGAAAATTTCGAGCTAGAATTTAATATATACAATTTACGCAAGGGATTGATCTCAAAATTGTGCCTTACCGGTGTTTTACGGTAATAGTAATAGTAATAGTAAATGTTGTCCTGATTGTCACGGGGCAAAAGGTGGATCTACAAAGTTAGGCAGAAGTAAACGCCACTGAAATTGAGGCTAAATGTTTGATGAGTAGGGTTTAGGGCACAGGGGCATGAGGCATTGGGGATGTATGTCAATTAAGTAAATCAAAACTATATGTGGTTATATAATAAAATTTATTACTGAAAATTTTTTTAGCTAAGTAATAAATTTATAATAATTCATTGCAAATTTAAATAGATGCACAGCCCTAACGGCTTGATAGTTTTGGATAAAATTTTGTAAAGACTAGCACTACATCTTTACAAACAAAGTTACAGAGCTATTTCCTTAAAAAAAGAATTTTTAAGAAAAAAAAATATAGTGTATTAAACTTTTCATATTTGAATAGATAAAATAGCTCTGTAACTTTGTTTGTAAAGATGTAGTGCTAGTCTTTGCAAAATTTTATCCAAAACTATCGAGCCGTTAGGGCTGTGCATCTATTTAAATTTGTATAAATTTATAACTTAGCTAAAAAAATTTTCAGTAATAAATTTTATTATATAACCACATATATTTTTGATTTACTTAGTTGACATACATCCCCAATGTGACATGACCGTTAAAAAATAATAATAATAATAATAATGTTTTTTAGAGTGGGTCGAGAAAATGTCTAGAACAATGCTTTATGATTTAAATAAATAATTAAAAAAATTTTTATTGGTGTCTTAACACCGGATAATGTTCGTCATAAATCATTCAAATTTATTAACGTCAATCTCTGAAATTCTCAAAACCGTATAAGTCTGTTTATGTGTGATCCGTCTCCTATGTCGATTCCTCGGTTTCTTTTTAAATATTTGAATAAAGGGGCCTTTAGGCTGTTCAAGTACTGTAGCTTTAATATTGTAAAATGCTTCAGAAACAAAAGGTTGTCCTTTGATCGTGTAATCCTTGGATCCCAATTCAAGCACTCGATTTAATCTTAATTCATCTCCAACGTTCACATCACGCAACCTATGTGCGATCACAATATCGTTTTTGGTAATTAAAAATTTTTGAGATCGAATATCTACTACAGCATAGTAACGTAATTGATCTCTTAATTTATTGATTGCTTCTTTTGTCGAATCAGAAAAACGCTTTGGTAAATACGGTAATGGTAATTTCTCTGAAATATTTGAAAGCGGCAGAGCTTTTAACTGCGTTTTGGGTTTTACCGTAGTATTCGTTGTATAGTTGTTAGGCAAAACTATTTCACATAAAGACGAAAGAAGAAACCTCCGGCGAAACGACGAAACTCTGGCAAAAGACATAACTCCTGGTGAAATGATATCTTTAGCGAAATGACGAAACCCCTTGATATTTATAGTAACTATTTGAAAAAAACTCATTTTCGTGACAGTCGCTGATAATCTTAAAACGCACGTGGATTTATGACTATTGTTTGTGTGCGACGGTTGTCCTACACCATAATAAAATTTGTACATTTGTACATTCAAATCTTCCGTAAATTCTTTAGAGATATAAATATGAAAAAAAATAAAAAAAGTAAAGGTAAAAAAGGTAATCATAATACTAATAAAAACAAGAACAAAAATACTCGTAAATCTCACAAGATGGATTCCGATGGCACTCAAATGAAAGGTACTATTCGTTTATCTTTTTCGTACGTTATTATGTCACCGTTTACTAACTTGATCTCCGATTAAATAGTCAACGAAGATTTGGAAAATGGATCACTTAACGATGATGTCGAGATATGCCCACACGTTAAAGAGGCGGTGAAAGTGAACAAATTAAAAAATAACATCAAGCAAGGAAAAACTAATCTTGTGGACGCGCAGTGTGGGGTATGAAAATTATAATCAGAAGCTTGACCCATTTGTCTGGCACCTTTCACCTTATTAATAGTCCGATCTGTTATAGAAATGTGCGCCGCAAGTCGAAGGAATTCAGGAAACACCAGATCTCACGGATGGCGACAATATTACCTCTGAAAAGGAAACAGTACCACCGCAGATATGGCTCTGTCTTGCTTGTGGTAAACTTCATTGTGGTCGCTATGATAAAAAACATGCAATTCAACATTTTAACGAAACTAAGTCACATACGATTGCAATGAAACTGGACATGACCGAGACCTGGTGTGTGGGTCTTGTTCTAAATTGATTCTTGTATCGATCTTTAGGACTTTTTTTTAGTCATTGTTATTATTTGTCAATATTTTATAATTCGCTTGATTATAGGTGCTATGCATGTGATAAGCCGGTGATTTCTTCTACTGGAAAAAATCAAGTTATCAATCAGGCACGAAATGTTATTTCAAAGATTTTTAAGTCGGATAATAATATCAAAGGTTTGATTCATAATTGAAACTATTAATTCTATGAAGATATTTGCTTACATATTGTATGTTTATTTTTTTTTAGCCTCAGACCACGTACTACCAAAAAATGACGTGAACGCTCGCTACCAAACTGCCGCTCCTGGATTGGCAAACCTTGGCAACACTTGTTTTTTTAATTCAGTTATGCAGGTGAATTATACATTTAAGAAATGTATTTACTTCTTGTCCTACTTCACATTTTATGATCAAATTTTAATATCATATCAAAATTTAAGGTCGTGGTCGCGACTTCAGTTTTGCACGATATCCTCCAACCTGACAGTCCGTATCGAGAATATCCTCTCATAAAGGCTGAACAGTGCCCTGCAGCCGAGGCTGAAGAAGTAGGTCCGTTAACTGATGCGTTTAAAAAGTTTTTGGAAATTATGTGGAGACAACAAGGAGGAATGGTCACTCCTCGCGAATTGTTCTCCGAAATAGCGAGAAAATGGCAACAGTTTCGTGGATGGAGACAACAAGATAGCCAAGAGCTAATGCGTTTTATGTTTGACGGTATTAAATGTGAGGAGTTTGAGGTGAGAAAATGACTTTAAGATATATATGTGGTAATGGGTATCATTAGCGATGTTACCCAAACTATTTAGAACTTCCCAAACTAGGTGATAAATAATTTCACATTAGGTATTTACTTCTTTATTGCCATTGTCGAAACTGTGTGATAATGTTCATCACATAATTTGGGACGTCCGAAATCGTTTGGGTAACATCGCAAGTATCGCGAAAATATGTTGCGAGAAAGATCGCTAATGGAATGTCTAAATATTTCAGTTCATAAAAAAAATACAACCTCGTGAAACAAAGGAAGAGGAGATAACAACGGAAGATAATGAATGTATGCGTCCCTTATTGCTTATAAGCGTTAAAAATAGCAATAAAATAATCGATTTTATCAAAAATTTAAGTGTCCAGAGAACAAGATGATTCTTCCAGCGAAAAATCTCTACAACAAAAGCCAGAATCTTTCATTGATATGTGCTTTGGAGGAAAGCTAGTTAGTGTCATTGTTTGTGACACTTGTAAAAATGTTAGTAACTTCATTGTATATTAAGAACTTTATTTTCTTTATTATTGATTTGTGCGATTGAAATTAATGATAGTCGTTCTATCATCTTTCAGGAATCTTATTCATATGAAGAATTTTTGGATGTATCATTGCCGATAAAATCTCCTTTTAGTGAAGATCAAAATAAGGGATCTAAACAGGTTAGATAAGAGCAAAATTTATATATAAGAGATTTTAACTAATTTTTGCATAAATTTTAGATTTCTCTCAGTAAAAGATTTACTAATTATTTCTCGAGGAATCGAAGTAATGACAACACGTCTCTACAAGAGTCACCTACGGACGATTCTTCTCGAAGTGGTGATGATGACTCTAGCGATGATGGTTCCGAAGAAGACGGTGAGTTCGAAGATAGCAATAGGGATGATGATTCTGAAAATGGAATAGGAATCGCGACTATTTCAAAAGATCGAAGAAAGCGAATAAAAATGCTTCTCAGGGAACCAACAAGGTCTGGTCGGTCTACACCAAATTCTACTAAAGATATAACTCTTGTCGATTGTCTCGCGAGTTTCATGAAAGTTGAAACTTTGGATGGAGAGAATCTTTTTGCATGTGAACATTGTTGGAAATCACAGAATCCATCTGAGGAACCAAGTAGTAATGGTACAAGTGGAGATTCTGTGGTGAAAGAACAATTGAATGAAAAAAGTGATCAAATTGGAAATCATGTTGAAACTCAGGATTCTTTGGGAACGCAATTGGATGAAGAAGATATTTACCCTGCAGCGGTGGATGACACATTTTCGGAAACCACACCCAACGATACGTCTGATCCAACAATGATTGATGATTCACAACCGTCAGAATCCGCACCAATGAATATTTCTTCGGATGACCAGCATTCATCGCCAGAAACTACGCCCGAGTCTTCGTCCAATCCACTAATAATTGTTTCTTCGGATAATCATCTGTCATCAGAAACTACACCTGAATCTTCGTCTTCTGCACATACTATGATGAATGATACGCCGCTATTGTCATTGTCAGAATCTACTAACGATTTACCTCTAGATGGTGAACGAGGTGAACGGTCTTCAGACACCAGTGATGATTCAAATGATCAAACAGCTGATCAACTTAGTTCGACGAACTATACTAATAATGACCTTGAATCGCTTTCTGTTGATAATATGATGTCATCCGCATTGCCTTCGTTTTCGAAACCCTCAAATAAGGAATCTCAGCCTCAGCCTCAAAAATACATACTTAGGAAAGCATATAAACGTTATCTATTTGACTCCTTACCTCCAGTACTAGTTTTTCATTTGAAACGTTTTCAGCAAGTCGGAGGTCGATTTTCTGTCAGTATGAAAAAGATCGACGATTTTGTAGGCTTTGAAGAAGAAATTGACGTTCGGGATTTCATTGTTCCACCTGATAGTGAAGGTGAAGAAATGGATGATGATGATGATGAGAGTGGATCCGAATCACCGTCTGAATCACGTAACACCAAATATCGGCTTTATGGCGTCGTAGTACATCTAGGAAGCCTTTATAATGGACATTACATTGCTTACGTTCTTTCAAGGAATATTGTTCCAATGAGAGAGCAATATGGTATCCCATATTTATCCGATGAACAAGTCGAGAAGATATCGGAAACAGTGAGTGAAGGGCAAAGGCAATGGATTTATTGCAGTGATAGTTCAGTGCGTGCAGTAAATGTCGATGAAGTTCTTAAAAGTATGGCTTATCTTTTATTTTATGAGCAAGTTCAATGAATAACAAAATAACAATTCGTTGGTGTGAATATTGATTGATCTTTAAATTGTTAATTAAAAATAAATTAACATTTAAAATAAATTATTGTATTTTCCTCTTAAAATTATTTCAGATTTCGTTTAGTTCATAATTTAACTAGTGTAATTAATTAAATCAATGGAAAGTTTTTTATTCCTGATTATGTAAAGAAATCATGTTAATATATAAATATTAAAGCAGAAAATTTATTACTGCGCCATGTTGAATACCATAATTGCTACGTACTTATTTTTATTCGAAATGTATGGGCCGATTTTTTTATTCTGGCCAAATTTGCTGATCAGTTTAAAATTGATAAGCCAAGATCAGCATATCAAAAAAATCGGCCCATATAAATATTTAATTGCTGATTCACATAAGAAGGATAGTATTTTATAGGCGCAATTACTATTAAATTTATTATAATTATGAAATCTTCTTTTCCTCCATAGAAAACTATTTTTTTTATTATGCTAATATACTTTATCTTTCTAATAAAAAATGTAGAGAAAACAAAAAAACAATTTTATATATAATATAAAAAATTTATTAAAATTGGTTAAGTAGATGAGAAGATATTTATATTTTATTTTTTAGAACTATATAAAATTTTTATAAGTGTAGAGAAAAAAAATATTTCATCCTTATATAAAAAACATAGTAAATTATACTTTCGTAATTTATAAAATACTATCCTTCATATATGGATTGTGAATTAATTATTCAAGTTAAAATATATCTATTTGAATCTTTGTAGAATGTTTATTCGAATAAACAATATTATTCAAGAACTAGCATGGGTGGCTTCGCCGCCAGCTTTTGGAGTAAGCTTATTGGTTGTAAATCTTGTGTTTAGTAGATTTATTTGGTATTAGTGTGTAGGAATGACGTGATTAGTGATTGATGTATGTATTGAGGGTTTAATTTATTTAATTTATTAGGCGTAGAATAAGATTTTTTTTTTTCTTTTATTTAGTATAGGTTTAATGAGCAAAATAATTAGTACAGAATATTCTATAATGTATCTGTTGAATTTGGTTGATTCAAGTGAATTTTATAGATTTGTGTGGTTTTATGGTGATATAATTTTATTAATATCTGTCTTTTTCATAGTATATATATATTATAATTAACAAATTTTGTGATTAAATATAATAGTTAATTATTTAAGTTCTATTTAATGGTAGTGGGTTTTGTGCAATATTTTTTATTCATTTACCATTGATGAATCTGTCATAAATACAGTATGGTTCAAAGACTATATTTTTATATGTTTCCATTTTGTACAATGACTTAATACTACATAAGATTGACCAGTTTGAAATATTTGGTTGTTTAGATTTAGTGATACATCTGGTAGAGTTAATCCTTGAGTTTTGTAAACTGTAAAGGCAAATGCATTTTGTATAGGATATTGTGTATAGCTAGAAGGTATTCTGTTAATGAAGAAATTGTTAGTATATTTGAAGAAGTATATATTTATAATAGCACCTTCAACACAAAAACTGACATAGATAAGTTCTGATCTTAGATTAATGTCAGTTACAATGCCTATGGTGCTATTTGCTATTCTATCTTTGTGTTAGAAATTATTTAAAAATATGACTCTTGTACCAGGTTGGATTTTTACTATTTTAAATAAATTTGGTTTGTTTTTAAATAAATAATGTATTGTGTTGTTATTGCAAAGTGGAGTATTGTAAGTATCAATATAAAAATTTTTCTTCTTAAACAGGGATCATCGCACATATTATTTCATTAATTTGGTAAGCAGTTTTTTGGTAGCCTACTATGTGAGTAGTATTTAAGTTTGTATTAATTTGGGAAGTTGTTATAGTTTCGTTTTCTTTATACAATAAGATTTGCCAAACATTGTCGTCTATTAATCCAAATTTTATTTTCTATAAGATATTGTAAAAGTTTAGATCTTGGTTTTGTCATTGAGATTCACATAAAAATAAAGAATAAAAAATTTTTCATATTTGTGATCTGTATATGGGAGGGCCATGGACAGGTGGTAGTTGTACTAAGTCACCGACTACTATAATATTTATACCTCCAAACAGGTGATTATTTTTGTGAAGGAATTCGAATATTTCAGATATGTAAGTTAACATTGGGCTAGATACCATTGAAATTTCTTCAATGATAAGTGTGTGGATTTGTCAAAGAGAATTGGTAAAATTAGAGTCTTGAAAGGCAAGAATATGCATTCCATATTCGTCAGATATAATTTTTAATGCTGAATGTATAGTTGTTCCACCAACATTTTGTGCAGCAATTTTCGTGGAGGCCATTAATAAATAATTATGACTGGTTCTTTGGAAGTAATTCAATAGTAAGTAGATTATGAATAATTTACCAACTTCTGCTAGCCCTGTTATAAAAAAATAGAGGTAATGAGATCCATCTTGTGGGCCTAGATAATTTGTTATTGTTTGTATACAGTGTGGCATTAACTTGAAGGTAGGTTAATTATTGTGTTTAGAGGTAGGGTTTATAGTAAAACTTTAGTTGAGTTTAATTGTAGTTTAATTAGATTTAGAATTTTTTTTTTTTTTTAACTTTTAGCAGTTATGTCTCTAGTGATACAAGCCATTATATGTAAAATCGACTTAATTCGACTAGTTGGCTCAAATATTAATATTAAATTATATATAATTGGTAAACTAAAACAATGCTTTCAAAAGTATAAAACAACAAATACAGAAATATAAATACTAAATTGAAGAGCATGTTTAAATAAAGAAATCTAATATCACATAAATAGCTTAATATCAAAAATAAAAATAAAAAATTGTTATTGTGCAAATTATATTATTTTAAAAAATTGTAATCATGCTCATTTTAATAGAATTAATGTATTTTCTTTAGTTTTTTATTAATTACATGAATTTTGTATATCTTATCAAAATTCTTTTTAGTATTTATCCTAGTCAATTAGTTATTATATACAAATAAGCACTTCCAAGAGAAATTTAATTTCAAAGATCAATAATTTTTTTTTTTGTATCTTAATTTTGTTACTCCAAAAAAATGTAAAGATTGTTGCAGAACTTCGTGAAATGTAGACATCAAACTTTTTACAAACCTTCTAAAATAGAATAGACTAATGATATCAATAAAAAACTACATAAAGATAAGACAAAAGTAAAATTATACTTAAAGGATAATGTTATACTGTATAAACATATATCCATGATGTTGTATGACTTTTCTTATACAATTATTATAACCCAGATATACTAACTAAAAAAGTAAACTAATTGAAGCCATTAGTTAAAAATCAAAGGAGTTGCCCTAGATGAGGCTGTGTTAGTATATATAAAATACAAAGCTTCAAATTCATAAGAAAAAAAAAAGTAAACTTAAGGAAAAATTAAATATTTTTAAGGTAAAGACAATGATTAAAGCCTCTAATATAATAAATCTATTGTTGACAAAAAAATTAGATTAGATAGATAGAAGGTGATGGAATCTTTTTTATAAAAAGAGAATTTTAAATCAGTAAACTTATCTGTTTAATAATAACTCAAAGTTTTAGTTTTACCAGCTCACCCAGATTATGCTAGCCAACTCATCTTAACAGCAATTTACCTTCTACACAGATAGATCTGTTAAACAACTTGGTACTGACCAATGCTCTATGGGTATTGGCTGGGTTCAAATTCACAACAACTTAGTTATACAAAACTTTTCTGCTTAAATTTCCAATTGGCCCTCCTTATACAAAGCTGAATTATTAGCAATATTGTCTGTTATCTCTACTATTCCATGAAATTCTAGCCTACAAATCTACACTGACTCACAGTCTATTATATCTAAGTACAATAAACTCTTTACCCTGTTTCCTCAATCAACAAAATACTTTAAATTTAACTCCTAGCCAATTTGGCACACACTTCTCAACATCCTAAAAACCTTCAATATCCAACTGTCTTTTTTCAAAGTTCAAGCTTATTCCGATGACACTTTTAACAATCTTGCAGATTCACTTGCCAACAACTACTTTACTTCTCTAATGCTATCTTTTAATTATATTAACCCCTATAACTCTTACTCTATTTTATCATGGAAAAACAATTATATTGACAGTCCTTCGAGACAACTTACTAAAAATATATGCAACGCATACAATATAGCTCTCTGGTTCTCACAAAACCATGCCCAAGAATGGTCACACTTTTTCCACCAAATTGACTGGAATGCCTCATGGCTATACTTCAATAATAATCAAAAAACTTCACATAACTTCACCAGTCTTAAACTAAACTATCTCAAATCTTTCAAAATCAAAATGTTACTTAATATACTACCTACACATGCACATCTTCATAATATCTACCCTTATATATTTACATCCCCTAACTGCTTTTCTTGCAATAACCTAGACTCTCCTTCACACTGGTACTCCTGTTCTAATTATGATCTTTTAAACCAAATCATTAACTCCTCTATATGTGACACTATTTTTAACACAAATCTTAACCTTTCTTTCCATCAATTAAATATGCTTATACATACTATCTCTTCGCACCCTGCTTTTAACCTTCTACCATCTCAACTATATCCTTTTTCACTTAACTCTACACTTAAAGGTCTTATACCTATATCTCTAATCCAATTTTTAGACCCATTTGAAATCTTATACTCTAACTCCTCCCAACTTATTATCCGGCTACTTCTCAAAATTTCTGATCAACTCTATAACAATATCTGGATTCCATACTGTATTAATTTCTTTAACTGGAAAAAATCTCATCAAATTCCTTTCTACTCTAACTTTAATCATTCACTTCAATTTTCTTCATAGCCAACCAATAGAAGAAACAAAATTCACTATACTTATAGCTATCCTTGCGACTCTGCTGACCAATTACACTTAGAACTTAATACAGGTCACTCTCGATAATATCAATATTGTTTATATCAACCTAAGCTACAAAATCAAATTTTTGGAATTTTTATATAACAAAATTTC